CCGTTTTGCCAATTTCATAGCCATGTTCTTCCCATTAAAGCAATACTTAAGTTTTAATAAACACTTCTAAGAATACATTTTAATAAAGTCCTGGAGGAAAGGTGCAATTACTAGAGTCCATGCAGAACGTCTCACTCAAAGCTTTAAAAAAGTTTGTCTACCAGGTGTCATTAGTGACACACTTCAGGGGGAGCTAAGCTCAACTGGTCATCTGTGACTTTTGCCACCCTTCCCCTCTAGAGGGCTTCATGTTCATACAGGCTAACATGAGCAACAGTGTTAGCTGGTTCTTTATAGTCACATTGGCTATTGGAGTTGTTGGTCTTCTAGATCAGACCAAAAGGCTGTAGGGCTCAGAGAAAGTCCTTCTTTCAATTATATTTGACTGAGTTTTATTAAATATGCTATATTCACCTCCTATACTACCTTGTATTAAGTGTAGCTTCTCTCTCTCTCTCTGAGAGAGCAACTACATATGAAGTATGAATCTCCTGTATATTGAAACAGACTTTAAAAGCAATTCCCTATCATTAAGGTGCCTTTGTTTTATATCTCTTAACCACAGTAACTCATTTATACCTTCTATTTGTTTTGCCAGTTATTTACGTCCTTTGAAGAAGGGGTTTAACCTGGTTCTAATGATTTCAGAAATTATCCAGGAAGAGAGATTTATCATGACTTTGCATGCCAAGATAAAACAGGAGTAATGCCTACAGGCAGTCAGTTTAAAACTTTTGTTCCTGTATGAACATGCATGTAGCCTGTTCAACCTCTTTCACAATCTTTCCTGCTACAAACAAGATCATTTGACAGCGGCTGATCAGGCCAACTCCCAAGCCTTTTTATCTCTATTATTCAAAAAGCCATAGCTTGTGTCAAGATAACTAACATGCCTGAACATTTTTTGAACATACTGATATAGGTACCATAATCTCCTTCCCTCCTCATTGTTTCCTCCCCTCTCGATTCTGCTACAGAAATCTGCATTATTTTGTACCTTGTAACAGGAAGGCTATTTTCACCAGAAAAAGAAAAGGCATTGAGTGTAACATACCATATTCTATTAGGGAATTTCAAGCTTTACCACTATAAAAAGATCTTCAGCTAGCTAGCCACTCAGGAACTTGCTGCACTGCAACGCACAGTACGACAGTGCTGGTGCCCAGCAACAGGACAAGAGGCAATGGGCAGAAACTGAACCACAGGCAGTTCCATCTGAACCTGAGAAAAAACTTCTTCACTGTGAGGGTGACAGAGCATTGGAACAGGTTGCCCAGAGGGGTAGTGGAGTCTCCTTCGCTGGAGATATTCAAAACCCGTCTGGATGTGATCCTGGGCAATGCGCTCTAGAGGACCCTGCTTGAGCAGTGAGGTTGGACTGGATGATCTCCAGAGGTCCCTTCCAACCTAAACGATTCTGTGATTCTGTGACACTCACAAGATTGGCTACAAACACACCAGAAACCAGCACAGTATGTACATTATAACCCTCAGTTGATGGATTGAGCTATGTGGTTAGTTCTTACCATTGATTTAGGTGCAGAACCTTAGACTGCAACACCTCTCTCTCAAAGGAAAGCTTTTTACAGTGGACTGTTAAGTACAAACTTTGATCTAGTGAAAAGCAACCTGCTGTGCTATGCTTAAGGGTGAGATTTAAATTCAGAAGCCATTTTAAAAGCATCAAAGTCAATTCAGATTGTGGGGAAGTCACATGTAATATTATTTACCCTAAGATTTAGATCTCTTCAAGAGATCTAAAGCGGTTTCTCTGCACCCACCAGCAGACAGAGCTAGTTACATTAGTTGCTGAAAGCCAGAAGACAGTCGAGCTGATGAGTTAGAAGAGCATGACTATCACATGCTCAAAGATTTCATTATACACTTCAATAAAATAGCAAGGCTTTAGGGAACATGTGCTATGACTGCTTAGGAGCCATCGTCTGCCTGGTTCTCTGTAACTAATAATTTATATATAAATACTGGAGAATACTAAAAAGTTTATAAGAATTCAGACAGCTGCAGAACACATACCCAGGTCAAGAACACGAGCAATTTTAAGACCATGAAACAACCCTTATGAATACTGAAATCCCCTTGTAGTTCAACACTTAGCACTTAATTGAGACATATCTGTAGGAGTCTAAACTTTTTTTGTCACACTGGCTAAGCATAACCCAATCAAATATCACTAAAACTAACATTACTTCAGTTCTCAGCCTTGCTTTTCTTCTGAGGAAGGACACAGCCTATTGGGAGCAGAAGAGCCTAAACCACCAGATTAGATACAAGAATTTGGAATGCAAACTGCAGTGTAATAGCTTTTTTTGTGTGTGTGTGTGTGTGTGCGCGCACT